ATTCACAAACTTTTGGCAGACTTACAAAACAATGAAATATGAAAATAATGAATATGGAAATAAAATTTTACCAGTCTGCCAAAATACGTATTCCGGCCTCCAAAGCCACCACGAACAGCTGGCCACACTCCCTGGAGCAGCCAGCATGGGTGTGGCCTGGCAGTGAGCGGCCCGGTGCTAATCCATGGTCCAGTAATTGGATTCACAAACTTTTGGCAGACTTACAAAACAATGAAATATGAAAATAATGAATATGGAAATAAAATTTTACCAGTCTGCCAAAATACGTATTCCGGCCTCCAAAGCCACCACGAACAGCTGGCCACACTCCCTGGAGCAGCCAGCATGGGTGTGGCCTGGCAGTGAGCGGCCCGGTGCTAATCCATGGTCCAGTAATTGGGAACCACTGCTTTATACCATATGAGCATTGGTACCAGAGGGCACCCAAGCTATCCCAACAGTTATCACTGAGGGGAAAACTACTAGTTACTATGCTTTGGGGAATGCACAAACCTACAGTGGAATGGACATACGCAACACATCTTTGAAGAAAAATAGCTATGGAAAGGTAATTGTTTCTTTTTCTTAGTCAAAGCTAAGTTTTACTAATGCGCAAACTTAAATCCATAGCTCTTTAGTTTAATTATCCTGTTATCATGTAACTTAAAATAAGCTAAGTAATATTGTTTGCAATTCATTAAATTTGAGTTAAATTTGAGACTGTGCCAGATACCTGCCTGCTGCAAATATTTATGGTGGAATTTAAAACTTTTCATTAAGTATTATATGCTATAACCATTGTAGTCATTTCTTTAATATCACCTTTAGTGCTTTGTCATTGGAAAATATCCTGATATTCTTCTGCTTTTCATTAATGGCAAAAGAAATTTTGTTTTTGTTTTATGCGATATCTATATTCAAAATTTCATTGTATAGATATTTACAGTTGTAGCAATTCTTGAGATATTTTAGTAAAAGTAATGTAGTTGTCTTGTACTTTTATTTATATTTGTGGTCTCACCATAAATACTTCTGTTAAAAAGGACTGGACAGCTATTTGGAGAAAACAATTGGTATACGTTTGCTAGACTCTACAGATCTGCATCTAAAAAGGTCAAAAATTCTCTAATGGAAATGCAAGAAGTAAGGAATTAATCTGGCATGTCACATGTTGTGGCAATAGAAGTAAGTTTGGGGACAAATGGAGAAGCCAACCAGGTCACCAGTGAGTGAAAGCTTTTTCTTACTTTGAGTCTTTTGGGCTGAAACTGCAACCACTTACACACATGGATAACATTATTTTTGAGGTCAATGGGATTATTAAATACAAGAAAACTAACTCTGGTGACTATTCTGTAACTTTTATCTGTTGGCATTATTTGACCCATAAACCTAGAGATTTTCTTCATTTAAAAAAAAAAAGATGAAGTTTTGACTTCCAGATTGTTAAGAGTTAATCCAGTAATAGTGAATTCAGAGGAAAGAAATTTCTTTCCGTCTGCCAATACCAAAACCGTTAACTGTGAAGAACAGAATGACTTGTAAAGAAAATTGAATGTCAAAGAAATAATTAAACTGTACTTTATGTGAAAACATTAATCAATCCTGCATTTCCATAATAGTTCTTCACTTGACAGCCTGGCACAGCTGATCAGCATAGTGGGCAGTAATGACCCATGATTATTTGTGTTCTACTTAATAGTAAATTTAATAAGTTTGGAGCTTTGCCTTAGCATAGTTTTACAGACTAAATGCTAGGGTTTAATAGTTCATATTTTGTTTAATACTTTTATGCCCCGCTCACTCGAATTTTACTGTTGACATCATTGAACTATTTTTAAATATACTTGTTTTATAAACACTGAAAGTTGCGTTGAACTATTGATCAAAAACAATTTTCACCAATGTTAATAAATAGTCCTAAATTTTAAGTATCGTAAGTACTATGTAAATTTCACAAGGTTTTTAGAATAAAGACATTAATTCTATCTACTTCTTATTTTAGGTGATTGTGTATTATTCCCATTTCTACCCTTCATTTTCTTAGGTTTAAATGATACCATTCTATTTTATTATATATGTAGTGCAAATGTCTATTAAATGCTCAATAACATTCAGTATTTTCAGTTAGATGGGCAAAATTTTCTCTTTTCTACATCAGTTGCCACATTTACAATCTTTAAAATGTGTACTCTGTGCTTTACAGAAATACTGCAGAATACTGTACTCATGTAACAATGAAACATACTGTTTGTTTTACTGCAGCTACTTCAGCAGTAGGTAAATTGCTGTAAGGGCTGCTGAATTCCTGTCCCCAGTAGCCAGCCACAGTATACCATATTTAGTGAATTCATAGGTTCCATATAGACACGTGGCTGAGCATCCTAAATATGGGGGATCAAGAGCCACCTAGGCCATACATTGGTGCTGCTTTTTTTTCAGGGGAGGTGTGGCCTGTCTTCCAGAGAGTGTCATATGTTGAAGATCCAAGGAAAATCCGTTAACAAACAATGGCTAAATGCAAGTGTGGTAAGAGTCCTTTTCTGCCCACAAAGAGCTTGCTGCACTTGCTAACTCAACTATATTTGTGTAGAGGTTCCTTTAGGACAGCAGTTCCCAACCATTTCCAGATGGGGACCCATTTTGACAATTCAGGAAGACTAAATGACCCAAGGCCATTCAAAAATGGGGGGAGGAGGGAGGGCAAAGCCAACTGGGGAGACACTTGGCGACCTTTTTGAAATGTAATGGCGACCCATAGGTTGGGAAACCCTGCTTTAGAATGATCCATCCACTCTCCCTAGAATTCAATCCTATCTGAATGGCTCCTCCTTTAAAGTGACTTTGCAGACACACATCACTAGGGCCTACACCTCCCTTGCCTTGTATAACAAAAATACTTAAACAATGAATAGTCTAGTAGCACCTTTAAGACTAACAAAGCATGTAGATGATGGCATGACATTTGAAGAAGTGGGTTTTGCCCATGAAAGCTCATGATACCATCTACATGTTTTGTTAGTCTTTAAGGTACTACTAGACTATTCATTGTTTAAGTTTTTCCTGTTGCAGACTAACTCAACTACCCCTCTGAAGCTTTTTTAAAAATACTTAATCCATTCTATTTGCCATATATAAATACAGGTAATTGGACCTTTGGCTACAAAGCACAACAGGCCAGAGAAGTTCTCATGCTGACTCTTGCACACTGTAATGAGGATTGGAGGCAAAAATGTTTGTTTAATGGGTGGAAAAATACATATTTGTTGGACAAGCTTAGAGAGATCTAATAGAGACTCCTGCTTTTCTCTACAAATTTTCTTTGTGACTGCATATTTTGAGATCTTTAAATTTAGAAAATTTGTATTTCCTCACTGTTACTTGGTTCAAAATGTATTTTATATTTATTTTCATCTAACTAAATATTTATCATGTACTTAGCTTTTTATCATGTACTTAGCATAAGTGACATAACAGCTCACCTATACACAGCCAAGACTTTAAAATATTGTTTTATTACATCAATTTACATATTTCTCCTTTGTTTATATTCCATTTTCCTGTTTTCTTTTAAAAATGCTATATGTGAACCTTTAGGGGAAGAAACCTCAACAGTGTCATGTACAGAGCAACAAAATGCCAGGGAATTTTAATTGGGAAGACAGACACTGAGTCTTGCTTTATTACATTCATTCTGATTGCTTTATGCTCCAAAGTGAGTTTCTAATATTAATATCCAGATGACTGCCCCTACTTGAATTTGTGTCATTAGTCCTCATGATGTGTACAACATAAATGCTCATATATACATTGTTGTACACTTCAGAATGGTTGATTTCATACTTCATCAAAATAATGTAAGATTAACTTCAAATACAAGGTATCTCTCTGTTCACATTAAATACTGATAAATATATAGTACAGATTGGACCTCTGTATTCCAGGACTCCCTGGTCCAGCCAAATCCATTGTCTGGCAAGACCGTGTGGGTTCCAGGACCACAGAGTCCCGATAGAGGGCTGGCAGCTGGGCTCTCCCTGCTGCTGGGCTGCCTGGTGCACAGGGAGCTGGGCTATCTGGTATACCAGGGAAGGAGGTGGGGGAGGGGGCTGGTGGTAAGGGGGGAGGCAGGCAGGAGGCTGGTGGCTGGTCCAGTGCTGGGGGGGAGCCAGTAGCAGGGTAGCCAGATAAGACCTTCCCCAGCCCTGCAAAATCTCTCATCTGGGACTGGTCAGGTCCATAAGGTGCCGGTCCGGGGGGGTCCAGCCTGTATATGCCATCTTATTTGTTGACATTTTTGTCATCTCACTTGTTAATGATGATGCTAGTTTGAGTTAGATAACTCCACAGCTTTTAAAATTTGATATATATGAATCTGACATTTCATCTTTCACTTTAAAGTATGCTTAATTATAAGGGATTTGAATTTCTTTATTTTATTAGAAAAAAATAAATTTAAAAAATTCAATGGGGTTGGTCTTTAAAACAGTTTAACCATTATCTTTTAAAAACAATCTGGAGTTATGCTGATAATTACCGATCTCATCTAATGAACTTTTGTGACAATTCCATGTACTCTAAAGAGAAATGTGAGGAGGAAAAAGGAAAAGGACACAATCTAATGTAGTCAGTAAAGTCAACGCTGTTTAAAATTGCTTTATCTTGTTGAGAATATTTTCTGGAGTCAAATGTCCCTGTCCTAAATTTGAAAGAACCCTACTAGTTACATAGCATGTACCCTGAGAAGTGTGTGTAAGTTTACAATCTTGAGCTCTCTCTGGTACTTCTGCAGCAACATTAAATTCACATATTTTTTGTGCCAATTCAGTTGACAATAACCTATTTAACTAGAGCTAGTCAAGAAATATTTCATGAACATTTTTTGTTAATTTCCTAATTATGAAATTGGAACATTCCATAGGATGTTGATTTTGATGAAGTGCCACTGGGCAGGTTCCTGATGGAATTCTGTCTGCAAGGCAAGTTTTGAATTTTGCTTCATTTCCTACAAACTCACTTGTTCATCATTCTGAGCTCCCTGGCTCCTCAGGGAACCTGAATCCCAGCGCTGGGATATCCAGGGCCCTAAGTTCTAGAGCAGCCTGCCAGATGGACTTCCTGGGTGACAGGAGTCTTAGAGCTGGCAATAGTAATTCCATTTCCCTAAATACTTGAAATTTTGAGGGTTTGTCTTAAATTGGAACCAAACACAATTTAGAATTCTTGAAATTCTCTGTGGAACAATTATTCTCTGCCCAGCTTTATTTACATTCAGTGTAGATGTTCAAGCAGTGGTGGGGGAAATAGCATGACCAAATAACAAATATTTGCTAAGTTGCTAAGAGGGACATTGCTAGTAGGGATACGGGGGTTTTAAAGGAAAGAATCTTTATGAAATAAAATCAGCATTTTTTTATAGTTACGTTCATTTGCAGAATAACATTTATATAGTGCAAGTGAAAGCAAACCATTAATGTCTGTTCCCAAATCAATGTTATTTCTTTAGCTTTTGTTCTTTTTAGTTCTTCTCTTTATTCCCCTCTTTTTAATGAATATAGTAACACATTAATAACTGAACAGTGTTGTGCTTTGTCAAGTTTTGTAAGCCACTGTAAAAACATATTCTCTAATATGCATAT